AATAGTGACATTTTTAATCTAATTTAGCGATTTTAGAGCCTAGTTTATATCAAAAGGTACTGAAATACTCCAAAAGAACAGCAATAACACAATTTTTCACTTAATTTAATGATGTTTTGGTATAATTTGACGAAATTTTTTGTTATCTACAATGTTTTTATTTTATTTTATAAAATCTTGTAAAACGGTATTTCCCTCGTTTTTAAAAGCAGTAATAACAATTTTTTGTAAAAATTATCAAATTACTCACTAGTTTTCGACATAATTTGAAAATGCTGTGAATATGGTTAAAGGTACAAGATACAAAAAATTAATTTAAATCTAAACGGTTGAAGATAGAGATATGGTCTTGCGGACTTTTTTGTAGGAAATTTAATTTTCTACAACTTTGTTCCCTACACTTTTTTTGTATCTTCAACCGTATTCGCAGTGTTCTCAAAAATATCGTAAACAGTATTAAAAACAATTATCAGTTTGCGTTCCGCCCAATATTTTTGAGAACGCTGCGAATACGGTTCAAGATACAAAAAAAGTGTAAGAAACAGAATTGTAGAGAATAAAATTTGCTACAAAAAAGTCCGCGAAACCACATTTCTATCTTCAACGGTTTAGGTTTAAATTGCTTTAAAGTGTTCCTCTGGCACTGAATCACCAGTAAAAATGTCGCTTGAGCGGCTTTGAACGTTTTTGAGGCCTAAACCATTAAAGATAGAGGTATAGTCTTGCGGACTTTTTACTAGAAAATTTTATTCTCTACAACTTTCTTTCTTACATTTTTCTTGTATCTTCAACCGTATCCGCAGCATATTGAAAAACATGAAGCGGAGCACAGATTTTAAATTTTAAATATTTTTTTTCTTATATTTTTCGTGAAAAATTTAGTCGTTTGTTTTTCACAGCTTAAGAATGTAAAACTCAAACTCTAAGCAATTAGTACACTGATTGAATTTAAATTAATTTTAAACGATTTGAAACTGAGACGGTAAAACGCTCTAAGCGCCCTCATTTTTACTTTTTTTGGGTCCAAAAAATCGAACAATTTTGTATCTCGTTTCGTCTCCTAGTATGTACTTACTTCTCCGTAGTCGCGATTAACCCAAGGTTTGACCTGTGTGATATTTTTATTTAAATCAAAAATACCTAGATCAATGTTTGATTCATTAAACGATATTTGGACCGATTACGTGTCAATGTTTTAATTATAGAATTTCGATTAGCCAATCATTGTAATCTTAAAATCGCGAACTAAATATTTATACTTTTTACTACTTACACTTACTCTTTAGTGTAAGTAGAAATAACCTTAATTTTGTTTGTTAAACTTATTGTGTACATATTTGTGAGGTGTGTCCTACTTCCAGATGTGCCTTCGGATGCTGTTTGATCCCCTGTTGCATCGACAACTGCATGGACGTCCACCACACCTGCCCCAATTGCAAAGCATATCTTGGAAAATATCGACGATAAATCGCATTTTTATTTTTTTTTCTCTTTATTCGTACTAATATCATATGCCATTAATACTCATTAAATCGTGCATTTTATACATTTTTATTTATTGTTATTTCTCTCTTGTGGTGGCACTACCTAGAGGTATTATCAGCATGTCAGACCAGGTTATTATGGGATTTTATCAATAACATTCCTAAATTTTATTTCAAACTGTGCTATGGTTACTTTTTTAGCTATTTTGGTGTCAAACGCCACGTTATAGTATTTGTAACATAAATTACCGAGTGACTGAAAATGATTGTGATTTGAAATCTTAATTTGGCAACATTGACCGTCAATTAAAATGGCAGAATTTTATAGTCAATTGTCATTCGTTTTTGAGGGGTGACCGCTGACATAGCCGTCACTTGACACAATCTAATATCACAGACTAGAAGGGTTAGCAGTAATTCAGTGTTGCCATTTTGTTACAATCATTTACAGTCACTTGATGATGGTCAGTGTTGCCATCTCTAAAAAATAAAATTTACCAGTCCGAGTTGAAAAAGTAAAAAATTTACACCAATTTTCACCAGATTACAAGATTTGTTAGGTTTGTTTTTAAGAAAATTCTGCGAAATAATTACGTTTTTAGTTGAAAAACGTGTTAAAACTCTCGAAAAGTGCAATTTTTGGACTTAATTTGTTGATTTATAGCGAAATCTCGTGAAAAATATGAGATTTTTGTACAAAACAAGCATTTTTAACCACATTTTGTAGTTTTTTTGGTCCATTTTTGTCTTAATTTTACTCAATCAAGTGAAACAAATAAAATACCATCAATATCTACGTTTTTTGAGGATTTTAAGGCGTGTTTAAACAAGATTTTTCAAAAAAAAAAATGGTTCAAAAAACAAGCAAGAGCGAAACAAGCTAAAAAATACTCTTAATTCGACTTAATTTTGTAATTTTTAACGAAATTTTTTGAAATTTGTTTGTTTTTATTGCAAAAACGTCCTTAAATGCCCGAAAAAGGCAAAAATAACGTTATTATGTTGGTTTGTTTTTGCAAAAAAAAAACGTGTTTGTACTGAAAAATACAATATGTTTAGTAAAATTTCGTAAAAAACAAACAAAACCAATAATTTTAAGGTTTTTTTTATTTGTGTAAGTTACAACAGTTTTTGCATTTCCAAAAAATCGGTATTAGAATTTTTACAAATGTTTTCACCAAGTCACTAGACTAACATGAAAATTACCAGGAAGAACCTGAGATTTTAGTACAAAAAGAAGCATTTTTGACCACATTTTGTAGTTTTTTCAGTCCATTTTTGTCTTAATTTTACTCAATCAAGTGAAACAAATAAAATACCATCAATATCTACTCCTTTTGGGATTTTTAGGCGTGTTTAAACAAGATTTTTCAAAATAAATGAGCCTTTGATTCAAAAAACATACGAAAGCGAAACAAGCTAAAAAATACTATTAATTTGACTTAATTTTGCAATTTTAAACGAAATTTTTAAATTTGTTTGTTTTTATCGCAAAAACGTCGAAAAAGGTAAAAAAAAACGCTATTACATTGGTTTGTTTTTCACAAAATTTTGCATAATAATTGTGTTTTTAGCTGAAAAATACAATGTTTAGTAAAATTTCGTAAAAAACGAACAGAACTAATAATTTCAAGTTTTTATTATTTAAATTTGTGTATTATTTTATTGTTGTAAGTTACAGTTTTGCATTTCCAAAAAATCTATATAAGTCACTAGACTAACATGAAAATCTTCAGATCTGGTAAAATTTCCGCAGTCCTGGCAACACTGATTATGGTTTTCAGTGTAAATGAGCTATATGTAGATTTTAATCTTTAAATTATGTACATTTTATAAATATACAAATACATGAACAGAAAATAAACTTTGTACTTTCTTTATTTTTTAACTTAATTTAATGGGACAATTAAAGCTATTAAATTATAAAATTAATTAATTAATAGCTATTGAAAGTAATTTAGTTCGATTAAACGATTCAACGAAAAACTACCAGGAAGCTAATAAAACATTTAATTACAATTTTTCAGGAATTTGTTTTTTTTTTTTAATTGAACCTAAAAACGTCGTACAAATTTTCCTAAATTAAATTTTATTTTTAAACAAAAAATCGCGCCAAATTTTAAACAAGCTTTCTTACCGACCGAGTCTCGTGACAGCTGCCGCGCATGCGCTCTCCCAAGGCCATTTAATTATGATTCCCGTTTTTGCCGTTTAATTAATTTCTTTTTGTTTTATTTATTTTGCTTGCAGTTCCCATCGAAAAATGCGTTTTTGAGTCCTCGCGGACCCCCAAAGTGTGCTAAATCGTGCCTAAATCAAGTTCCTTCGTCGTTTCACCGAACGAAAAAAAATCAACTGGATGACATTATTCATTGATATCAGCTTCCAGTAAGGTTAGTTTAAATTGTGTCAGTAATTTATTACTTTTCATGCACGCGTCATAGTTATTTTTACGCATTTCGTGAGTCCCAAAAATAACTGACATGTCGAAATTGAAGTGAGCATGTGTCACAGTGGTTAAAAATTGCAAATTGGGGTGTTTCAGAACAATGGCAGTGAAGCAAAAAGTGGTGGAATGTGTGGCTCAGAGTGCGGAGGCGCGCCTCCAGTTGATCCTCCGGACGTTGCAAGACCTCACCGCCCAGGGGCTCCAGGACAAGATGTGTGCGAACATCGTGAGCATCCTGGGGACCATCCACGAGCCCACCGACCCCAGCGACTACAAACAGTTCATTACGAGTATTAAAAGCGTCCAGGAGATCCTCACAAAAGAATGCATGAAACACGATTTGATTTACGTGACTTTGAGGTCACTCTACCACGAAATCTCCACGTCTCAGAAGCCTCTATCGCCGGCCATGTCCATAGTCTTGCAACTCATCCAAGTCGATTACATCCCAACGGCTGTGGACTGGATCCTCCAAACTGGGTACTCCCCCGAGAACCACAAAAAAGCCCTCATGACACTCTGTAATTGGCTCATGAAATGGACCTGGACGGAGAATCTCAGCCGTCTTGTTTTAACCTTCATGCAAGGTTTAGAGTCGCAACAACAACACGAGATTTTGTTTGAGGTCACAGATGCCACAATTGAGCCCCTTTTCAAACTCTTGATTTTGCCTGAGCATCGTAAAAGTGTGGGCCCCATTGTCAAATACATGATGTTCTCAATGTTGTCACAAAACAATCCAGTGGCCTTTCACAAAATCATCCCACATGTCGGTAAAGTCGTCACCTACTTGTATAAAGAAAAATCCGATTCTAGTCTTGAATATTTCGGCGATATTGTCAAAGTTTGTGTTCTTTTAATGGAACACTTCTCCGACTACTCCAATCACTATGTTCAGTTGAAAAAAGACTTGGAACACCATCTACCGGCCGCTAATTGTATCCAAAATGGCCAGTCGAATTCCGTTGCAACGATTTATTCATCATCGGGGAAAGTCGGGTTGAATAATTTGGGGAATACTTGTTATATGAATAGTGTCCTCCAGGCGTTGTTCATGACGAAGCCGTTCAGGAATGAGATTTTGTTGTATAATAAGGATATGACGTCGTTGTTGTCCAAGTTGCAAACGTTGTTTGCGTTGTTGCAACATTCGAAGAGGTCTTCCATTTCGCCACATGATATTTCGAATCTGGCGAGACCGCCAGGGTTTTTGCCAGGACATCAGCATGATAGTTCGGAGTTTTTGGGGTATTTGTTGGATGTTTTGCATGAGCAGGAGAAGACGGCCGTTTGCGGGAATAGTGCTAAAGCAGGTATGTAGGGTGGTCTTAAGAATATCAACATTTTTAGGTTTTATTGCAGAATTTTAGTTAAGAAGAAGTAAAAAATAACTATTCATTGCTTTAACTCGAAGTTAGACATTATTTTTATTTAAAAATGTTATTCAAATTAATTCCAATTTTTTTTATTTAATTAACAAATAAGAATAAATAAGAAATGTTGAAAGTTTTATGTATTTAAAAATGTTTATTTTTTCTTAAAACACTATAAGAGGGCGTTGACTTTCAATCATTCAATCTGACAGTTGATTTTTTTTTAAAAGCCGTATAAAAGTTTTAACCTGCATTTTTTTCTACTGAGAAAACAAATTAACGAGATTACATTATTTTTGTGTTTTTTTTCTAAGCAAATTCGAATTGAATTAAACAGTTTTTTTTTTTTTTGGATAATCGGTGAAGTTTTGATTACAAGGGCCAATAATAATCATTTCCCATTAAAATAATTACCACTATTGTGAGAAACCGGTTTTTATATCTTATTGGCCAAAATCCGACAAAAACGTAGCAACGATAGTAACTCCACCCATTTAAAAAATCGTGAATAATTATTGAATTCCGAATTGGATTTTTATAACAAATCAGCGTTTAGTGTGAGTTATCTTACTTTAATTGGCTCTAATTTTGCACAATGGGTGGAGCCAACCCCAGAGCCAATGTGAGTCATGCACTTTCGACCAATAAAAAGTAAAAAATTATTTAATGCGTTAAAGTTGAGTGTCGTTCGATTCTTAGCCAATCAATTACGTCTTTTAAAATCAACCAGTTAGAACACGTCTTAGTTTTTTTGACAAAAAAAAATAATTAAATGTTTGTTTAAAGAATCGGCTTCTTTGATTTTATTATCAATATAAAAATGATTATTTGAGGAATAAACGTTAATTAATTTTCTTTATTGTCAAATGTCCAAACAATCAAAACTTAACATTTTTGGAAGATTTACATAACAATGAGTATTTAGTACATTTTATTGTGTACTAAAATTTGTATTTTGCTAAATTTTTGATCCAAAAACACCGATTCGAGTCGTTTGCCAAATCTTTCAATAATCCATAATTGGACAGATTGATTCTTTCCATATAATTAGTGCAAGACTTGGCACAAAAATTCAAAATCGTTCAAAAAAGAATTCAAATTTTCAAACAAAAGATCTTTTTTTTGTCAGCGGTGGCTCCCTTAGAATGAATTACTGCCAACATTAAAAATTTTATTTTCTTACCCTGTCTCAAAAATATTTAATTAGAAAGGTAAGAGAGAAAATAAATGACAGGAAATTTACTTGGAAAATATTTTCCACTTGTGGTAAACAAACCAAATCTACAATTATGTGATTTATTTTCAGATACTTTGACGTAAAAAAAGCAACTCAAAAGCTAATAATCCACTCTAAAAGCAATTTTTGCAATAATCTAACTCATAAAAAAATTTTCATGAATAAAAGGTTTTAGGAGGAAATCCTCTTTCAATGCACTTATTTTTTCATTATTTTTTTAAGCCACGTTTTGTTACCCAAAACAAGAAATTGTTAAAAAATTCATTACATAAATAAGACAACTTTTTTTAGAAATTCAAGACGATTTTAAGAAAAAAGATACTCAACTGTAATACATTGGTTTTGTAACATTTACATTTTAAGGAAATTTTTTACTGAATGAATAATTTTCAGACATAATTTTGTAATAGAAAAAAATCTGTAAACTGAATCTTGACGTTAGTTATAAATAAACATCCAATTTTTGTTTAAATAATTTAAAGAAGAAAAAAAAACTTGAAAGTAGAGTCTAGTAAATTGCAGGTATACATTCGTAGAAAGAGATGCACAAAATTTCCCTATTTATGCAATTTTTTTTGTCTCTTTTTACTGATAATTTTTTCAGTTTTACCAAACTTCAAGTGCTAATAAATTAATAATTTTTTATTGTTTTGATGAATTTTTACACACTTGTTTTTCTTGTGCTCTCTGAGTTTTCTGGCAGTTGAAGTTTAATTTTTTTTATTTTTTGTTAAACATTTAATTGTTTTTTATCAAGCTTAATCAGAAAAAACAAATAATTATTTTTATTCAAAGAAGTAATCTTAAGGGTCTCAAATCTGTCACTTTTTTTGGAAGTTTTGATATTTTATTTAGTAACCAACACTTTTAGAAGTTGGTAAAACTTAAATTATACATATGCATCTGTAGAAAGAGACAAATTATGTACACAAATGGGAAAAAATAGTTCCATCTTTTTCTACAGATGGAATTATTAATTTCCTAGATAATTTTTGTGAGTCAGCAACTTTTTTTAGAAATCCAAGACGGTTTTAAGAAAAAAGATATTCAATTTTATTTTCGTCTTAATAATACATCGGTTTTATAACATTTACTTTTTAATGATAACTTTTCCTGATAAATGAATAATTTTCAGACATAATTTTCTAGTAGAAAAAATCAGTAATCCGCTTCTTGACGTTAGTTATGAACATCAAATTTTTGTTTAAATAATTTAAGAGAAAAAAAATAAAGTTTGAAAGTAGAGTCTAGTAAATCTAGGGTATACCTCGGTAGAAAAAGGTGCACTAATTTTTCCAATTTGTGTTTTTTTTGGCTCTTTTTACCGCTGCATTTCTAGTTTTATCAAATTTCAAGTGCTAATAAATTAATAATTTTTTATCGTTTTAATGAATTTTTACACACTTAACTTCACTTGTAGACTCTGATTTTTGGTAATAGTGTAATTATTAACAATGACAAGAATGTAGAAAAGTGTAGTACAATTTTTGTGCCAATTTTATTTGGCTTGGGTTCTTTAAACTTCACCGTTGATTATTTTTATAAAATTCTGACCATTTTGAATTTTTTATTTATTTTTTATTTAGTTTTGGTATCGGAAGGAATAGTATTCCACTTTTTTCTAAGGTCGTTAAATTTTACAAACCAAAATTTATCACACGAATGAAAAACTAATTTTTTGTTTAAATTTTATTTTCTTACTCTGTCGCAAAAATATTTCATTAGAAATCTCTTCAAAAGGTAAGAGAAAAAAAATGACAGGAAATTTACTTGAAAAATATTTTACACGTCCAGTAAACAAACCAAATCCACAATTATGTGATTTATTTTCAGTTACTTTGACGTAAAAAAGCAACTCAAAAGCTAATTATCCACACTCAAAGCAATTTTTGCAATAGGTAATCCCAAGAAAAAATTTCATGAACAAAAGGTTTTAAGAAAAAATCCTTATTTTCCCAAAACAGAAACAGAGCACAAACAGATGAATTCAAAATTTGTCACTAGTAGAAAAAATAGTTTATTCAACTCGCGCAAAAATTCATTTGTGCTAATTGTTTGTTAATTTAGATCATGTGCCCCCCTCGTACAGCACAATAGTCCAATCAGCCTTCGGGGGGCGCACCGTCTCCGTGTCTCGTTGCGGCGAATGCGACACAAAAAGCGAACGTGTGGACAACTTCTGGGAGTTGCAACTCTCCTTTCCCAACACCACTGAGAATCAATCGGTGCAAACCCTCCTCAATTACTACCTCCAACCGGAGAAACTCAGCGGAGACAACCAATACCATTGCGAGGTGTGCGACTGTCTCACAGACGGCGAACGCGTCACTTGCATCGAGGAGGCTCCCCCACGTCTCATCCTCACCCTCAAACACTTCCGCTACGATCAGGCCTCCCAACAGCGCACCAAACTCCTCCAGAGTATCAAACTCGACAATCATGTGCAGCTGGAAACCGGCCAATATGAACTCTATGCAGCGGTGGTCCATTGTGGGTCGAGTGTCGACTCGGGGCATTATTACACCTTTGCGAAAGACGGCGATGAGTGGTTCAAATTTAACGATTGTTCCGTTATGAGGACTATGGCGGAGGAACTTTGCAGTTTGAAGCCGCCGGAAACGCCGTATATTTTGTTTTATAGTAGACAGGATTGCTCGGATCCTGAGGCGTTGCCTCGGACGGTTTTATCACAAAGATTGCAATTGGTTATTAATAATGATCACACGGAGTTTGAGTTGGAGAAGAGGAGGAGGCCGATGAAGACATACAATGCCAAACAAAATCGGAACGATGAACCGCCCCCTCCGGGATGTGGGGGAGGGCCGGGGTTTTCTAGTAATTCATCTAATATGTATGTATGCTAAATGTTGAAATATATATCGGATTTGGGTTATTATAATAGTTGAATTTTTTGGTAATATGTTGAACAACGAAAATTTTGATTTTCGAACCAGTGAACATGTTACGATTCTTGTAAATATTAGTTTTACACTCACAACTACACACAAATAGGAATTGTTTCAAAAATCATGTCGGACTATTGTTGTTTTATTGTTGTTTTTTTGTTTTATTTTGACAGTACAACGTACTGATTTGTTTTTTTTTTTTCGATTTCCATTATTTCTCTAGGTTTGTTTACACTTATTCTAAGTCTGTGAATCTATAGGTTTACTTTTTGTGGATATTGTAGATAACAAATTTGTTTACTGCTGGTATTGTCCATACCGTCTGTCTGTACACAAATTCTACGCTTGTATATTTATAACAATAAATTGTTCTTTTCATAAACGCGTTTTATAACACCCTGGTTCAGAGCAAAATGGGTTTTGGGGTACAGAAACCTGTAATTTATGCGAAAATTCAAGTAAATCTAACCTCAATCTTTCCTAACCATTATTTTTCCAAATAAATATGTACTCCAGTAACAAAAAATTATTAAAATTAACACATGATAGCAAACATAGAAATTTTTGTCATTATTGATGTGATTAATTTTGTTTTGAATTACATTAATGACACTTTTTGTGTAAATCGGCCTTTAAGTTATAATGATTCATTTAGACTTTTAAAACCTACTTGATGCACCTTCATATGAAAAGGAGTATACTTTTATAATTCGGGAAAAAAGAATTCTTTTAAACATATTTAGTTTTATGGCCAAGCCTCAAACTTTCTTTTTTTGATTAAAAAGAATTTTTGGTTATTGAGGCTTAAAATTTTGACCCAATTAGTATTTTTTTGTTTTAATTAACTTGGTTGCATAAAAAAGTTTACAACACGACTTATTTTAGAGTCTGGTTCCAAGGTGTTTCATTAAAAAAAAATTTGGCGTTGTTTATTTTACCGAGGTATATCTTTCATTAATTAAGGTCTAATTAAAACTTTTTTATTAGCGCTTTTCCAACAGAATTTCTTAGTTGTTTTTGTATCTTTTTCCAATAATTGGTGAAAAGAAAGAATAATTGAATGTTGCCAATAGATTTTTTTATCACAATCACTTCAGTCACTTTGCACTAATTTTTTCACATTAGAGTGGCCTGTGATTTTGAAATTAAATGGCCAACATTGTATAATAAATATATCTTAGTTTTCAATGTTGCCAACTTAATTTCAGTCTCAAGCTATTTTGTTTGAAAATTTTTAAAAAGTTTTTGTTTTTTTTTGGCCAAACATTACTAATTAATAAAACACATTTTAACTGAATAACATTTTTTTTATAATTATAGCTGTCAAGTACAAAATAAACAATAAATTTTGTCATGAAATAAAATAATATTTACAATTGTTAAAGCTGAAAACCTGCACTTTGGACAAAGCGAAAAATTGTTAAAATTTATACACACACAAATGACAGAACAGAGGCTGTGCATATTTTGTCCAAAGTGTGGTCGAGTCAAGCTCTAGTAAAATCTACAGTGTGTTTTTAATGTTGGGCTCTATTTTAAAACAATTCTAATACTTATCTGAAACACTTCAAAAAGTGCTTTCATAATTCGCAATTAAAATCGTTTTGATTTTTTAAAAACACCCTGTAAATTGATTTTTTACGATCTAGTTACAAATTTTAGAAACTTTAGAAAATCTTTTAGGAAGAGACAATTTACATTTAACACAAAATATCGTTCTTTTATTTACAAAATTATTTACAAGTTCGACTGTAGAATGGTGTCGGTATTGGTTTCGATCAAGGGGGCTGTATCGGCCCCCTTTGACAATTTGACATCGATGGTCCAGGGTTCCAGCAATTGGGGCCCATTATGGGTCGGAGTGGAATGGTCTGGGAACTTGACCGACTTTCTTGGTCCTTTGTTGAATATACTGGGTGAGGTTTCGTCGGTACCGAGGGATGTGTGGGGCGCAGTCCCGGTGGGGCTCTGGGTGGGTGTTGGTCGAGTCTCATGGTAGGTGATTGGGCGACGAGTACTTAGATAACTAGTCGCAGTTGGCTGGGAACTGTAGTGGATGTTAGGAACCTGAAACAAAGTCAAGTGTTAGCCCCCTTGAGGCATTTTTTAAGGGGGCGCAGTAGCGGAACTGTCAATCAACACACATTGTTTGCATACAGAGGGGCGCAAAAGCCCGGTTTTTACCCTGCCGTGGAGCAGTCCCGTGGTGGGTAACTCATCGCCGTCGCGAGGGATTTCCTAAGGAAATAATAGTAAATCTATTTTTCTCTTTATTTAATTTTTTAAATTTTTTTGTTAAATATGATTTTATAAGGTTGTTTTTTTATTTGTATTCGAGTAGGTAATCTAAAGGGTCTCAAATTCACTCTAAAACAGTTTTTACTTATTTTGCAAAAAATATTTTTTTTTGTAATTTTTGTAATTAAAGTTGGTAAATTTAAAATTCATACATCAGTAGAAAAAGACAAATTATGCACACAAATGGAAAACCTATCTCTGTCTTTTTCTATAGATGTACATCTTTAATTTCCTAGACTCTACTCTATGTGATTAAGCAACTTTTTTTAGAAATTCAAGACGATTTAAAAAAAAAAGTTACTCAACTGTATTTTTTACATCGGTTCTATAACATTTACATTTTAAGAAAAATTTTTATTGAATGAATAATTTTCGGACATAATTTTATAATAAAAAAAATCTGTAAACCGAATCTAGAGGTTAATTATTTTTCCTATTTATGTAATTTTTTTGTGTCTTTTTACCGATGAATTTTTTAGTTTTACCAAACTTCAAGTGCTAATAAATTAATAATTAATTATTGTTTTGATTAATTTTTACACACTTATTTCTCTTGTGCTCTCTGAGTTTTTTGGAAGTTGAAGTTTATTTTTTTTATTTTTTGTTGAACATTTATGATTGTTTTTTAAGATGTACATCTTTAATTTCCTAGATTCTACCAAATAACAATTTGATTAAGCAACTTTTTTTAGAAATTCAAGACGGTTTTAAGAAAAAAGATATTCAGTTTTATTTTCGTCTTCATAATACATCGGTTTTATAGCCTTTACTTTTTAACGCAAACTTTTCCTGAAAAATGAATAATTTTCAGACATAATTTTGTAGTAGAAAAAAATCAGTAATCCGCATCTTGACGTTAGTTATGAACATCAAATTTTTGTTTACATAATTTAAGGGAAAAAAAAAGTTTGATAGTAGAGTCTAGTAAAATGCAGGTATACTTTGGTAGAAAGATATTTTTCTATTTATGTAATTTTTTTTGTCTCTTTTTACCGATGCATTTCTAGTTTTATCAAACTTCAAGTGCAAATAATTTTTTATTCTATTAATGAATTTTTACACACTTAATTTCACTTGTAGACTCTGATTTTTTGTAAAGGAGTAATTATTAACAATGACAAGAATGTTGAAAAGTGTAGTACAATTTTTGACTTGGGTTTTTTAAACTTCATTATTTTTATAAAATACTTAACATTTTGAATTTTTTATTTATTTTTTATTTAGTTTTGGTATCGGAAGGAATAGTGTTCCACTTTTTTCTAAGGTCGTTAAATTTTACAAACCAAAACTCACGACTACAAAAAAAACTAATTTTTTGTTTAAATTTTATTTTCTTACTCTGTCGCAAAAATATTTCATTAGAAATGTCTTCAAGAGGTAAGAGAGAAAAAAATGACAGGAAATTTACTTGGAAAATATTTTACACGTCCAGTAAACAAATCAGATCCACAATTATGTAATTTATTTTCAGTTACTTTGACGTAAAAAAGCAACTCAAAAGCTAATAATCCACTCTAAAAGCAATTTTTGCAGTAATCTAACTCATAAAAAATTCTTCATGAATAAAAGGTTTTAAGAGGAAATCCTCTTTCAATGCACTTATTTTTTCATTATTTTTTAATCCACGTTTTGTTACCCAAAACAGAAAATTGTTAAAAAATTCATTACATAAATAATTGATTTCACGAGACACCAAACCGAGAGATATGAAAACGAATTTGATTTATTTAGACATCTTTCGAATTGTTCCAAACCCCAATATGTCAATTTTATTGAAAAATATGCACCAAATAACAAATGGAACACAATGAAAAACTTGCCCAATAAATTTTCTGGAAACAAAACAGTTTTGAGGAAATATCTCAGTTTGAAATAAAAAAAATCAGATTTAAATTATTTCAAACCTCGATACATCAAACTTGAAAAAATTCTGGGTAGTAAGCTCACATTTTGGCAATAAATCATTTCCGAAACTATAATTAAGGTTTGTATTGGGTCAATGTCATTTCTTACCCTGTTATTTTGATCGTCTTGAGCCCTCCCACGACCAGCTTTCAACTCTTGATACTGAGATATCACACATAATAAGGCATACACCTGAAAAACTCGATTATTACAAATTAAGCCCCATTTTGCATACTCACATTTAGAGATGTGATGAAAAAGTCTAGTGTTATTAAAATTGCAATACTTGGATTAAACCCAAGCTGGAAAACAAAATTTAATTAAAAATTTTAAGCTATAATTGTCGATCACTCACCGCATGTTCGTAAAATTGGTGACAAATATAGACCAAGTCTTGCAATGTAAATAGGATGATATTTATTATCCAAGGGATTAAAAGAAATTTACAGTCCTGTAAACAAGACAAGTGATTAAATATGCTGTTGGGGGATTATTAATGATCACCTTGTAGAGACCGTAAAGTAGCAAACAAGACGTTAGGATGCCGGAGGATGACGTTGATAAACTAAGAAGAGTGAATATTATGGAAGCTGAAAAATATTTAAATTTCTTTTGAACTTATCAAAGGCTTTCTTAAATTCTTTGGAAACTTTCTATTGGCAGCAATGCAAGATATATTCATTGACAGTCAAAAATTCCATGTACTTACATTCGGATGTAGTATCTGGGTCGAGGATGGTTGATTGGGTTATTTCCGTACAATTGGGAGGACAGTGCTTGAAAAATTCCAACTCCTCGTGCAAAAGGATGGAAGAATGTGCTGCATTTATAGTGTAGTAAAACTGGAACAAAATCATTACTCACTAACGAAAAATAAAATTTAGAAAAAGTGTTGGGCTAAAACAGGGAAAAAATTGCATAGTGTCTGGACCATTTATCACCTAATTTCCATAAACAGAAATTCCTCAAGTTAGCAGAGCGTAAAACGGTCGATAACTGTGCTTGTTTGGGGTTTTGTATATCCTAAAACTTTTGTGTTATTGAAGCAGTGTCCTGAATTCGACGCATGAGATATTTTACATAGTATAGGGTGATTCAGGTCGACGGGCTTTTATAATTAATTATTTTACATGTCTGAAAAATTAATTACAATTTAAGTAAATAATAATTTCGTGTTAATTATTTTTTTTGATTAGAAAATTGTTGATTGGACCAAACTATGGTCAACTCTGTTTCTCGTGTGAAAAAAAAGATGAAACTTATACTTTATTGATTTAGCACATTTAGCACATTTAGCACTCTTCATTCTATATTAAATATCCTAGATTCAACGTTCTACTGTAGACATTCAACCTTCTATATATTCTGTTTTCAATATTCTATATCTACTAGGAGTATTCAACATTCTATACTAACTTCAGACATTCAACCTACGACATATTATAATAACAATCAACATTTTACGTTCAACATTCTTCACTCTATATCAAACATTCTAGATTCAACATACTACTTTAGACATTCAACTTTCTACATTTTCTATTCAACATTCTACATTTGTAGAATAGATATACCAGGTGAATAAAAAGTATGGAACCAAACGTTTTTTGCTTAAATTATTTAGTTTTTGAAAAAACTAATTGATGGGTGATAAAGTACTATAAAAATGTGATGATATCAAAGAATAATTTTTTCAAAATTACTTTTTGTTTTTGAGTTCTACAAAAAAATTAATTTTTTTAAATGGCAACCCACTATAAAATCATTTTTCTCATAAAAGCTATACCTTAAGGATTACAACTATCTGCTTTATATTTAATTATTTCAAAAAAAAAATTTTCTCATAAATTGCAATTTTGACAAAAAAAATCGCATAACTCAAAAACAAAACAAAATTTCGTTCTGAAAAGACGAACACATTACTTTAATTTATATTAATTATTTTATATTCAACATTCTTCATTAGACATTCAACCTTATACCTTTTGTATTCAATGTTGAATGTAGTTTTAATATACTATGTAGAAAGTTGAATGTTGGATATAGAATATGTGTCCGGAAGTTGAGAATGTTGAATATGAATCGTTAAAAGAATGTTTTATTCTACATTAAATATCCTAGATTCAACATTCTACTTTAGATATTCAACTTTCAACATTCTATAAAATGTAAACTGTTTGAAACAATAAATTTTACAACATTTTAATTATTGGAGCTTTACAAAATCTACTTAATTTTTTGTAAAATTTTGTTTGTTGGGTTTATGAACTGTCTTTACTTAAATCAATTTTGTCTACACATTGTGAAAAAAAACGAAAACACTAAGCCTCCAGCTTTGAATAAATTGAAAAGTTGATATTTTCATCTCTCATCAAAAATAAACAAACCGTTGAAAGAAAGCTATACGTATTTAAGGTTTTGTAAATCTTGAGGTAAGTTCATCCGTGATGGATGGATCAGCAGGAGTTAAGCAAGCTTCCTGTTTCTATGACAACCCACGAAGGATTACAAGACTCGCCGGACATGCATACTCCGGGTTAAAATTAACCCTTGTGTTCCGGAGTTTAATCACAATATGACTTCAAGCCTCAGGTGTGATGATGATTCCATGACAACACCCACTTTTAATAAATAACCTTGTTAGGGATTTGAATGTGTTTAACAAAAGTTCCGGAATTGGTCACCGGATTTTCAATTAGTGGAATAAATTTTAATTAAAAAATTATGAGCGGAAATTAATGTTGATAAGAACAAAATGGCCCAAATTGAAGCTTAAACCGAACATAATAGAACGCTTATCTTGGCACGAAACAGCGTTTCACTTCATCTTTTCACCAGCTTTTAAGTGGAACTAATTTCCGAATATCAAAACAATTAAGCGAGAGATTATTTCCTCTTGTAATGATTTGGCAAAATTCAAGTCGAGGGATTTTCTTTGTTACGACCTACATGACCACCAGTACGTGCACATCTTGATCTATTATTAGCGGAGCTTTTTGGAGAAATTTCCTTTGTGTGGGAGAATTAAGGACCTCCAGTGGAACGGAAAACCTAAGAATCCGACTGAAATCAATCCCGAGACGATCGATGAAAAACTGTATTTTTTCATTTTCTAATCGGGGAAAAAGTATTTTAAGTAAATAGACGAGGGAGCAAACACAATTACGGACACTAATGGATATTAGGCGGACAATGTGGTGAAAAGAAAATCGCCGATAGATGAAACGACACAATTTGACGTGAAAAATTCACACTGACAATTTGCTCTCGAATTTTATGAATATTCAATACCAAATTAACAAAGTACTTTAATTAATTGAATAGAAAATGAGCTGAAAGCGAGAAGAATTTAAACGGCGAGTTATTATAGACACATTTTTTAAAATTTGTTTTAAAATAAAAAACATTAAATGTCAAACTCAGAAATGAAAATTAAATGTAGAATGTTGAATAGAAAATGTAAAAAATTGAATATTCAACATTGAATATAGAAAATCTAAGGTTGAATGTCTAATGAAGAATGTTGAATATAAAATGTCAAAAGTTGAATGTCGAAAATAGCATGTTGAATCCAGGATGTTTGTTATAGTGTGAAGACTTGAGTCTAAAATGTTGATTGTTGTTATAGTAGGTCGAAAGTTGAATGTCAATAACATTCTCAACTTCCACACGAGTATTCTAAATCCAACATTCAACGTTATTTCTACATACTATATCTATTCCACAAATGTAGAATGTTGAATAGAAAATATAAGGTAATGTTGATTGATTATAGCACGTCGAAAATTGAATGTCCAATATTATAATATTGAATATTAAATATAAAATAAATGTTGAAAGTGGAATATCGAAAGTTGAATGTTTAAACTAGTATGTTGAATCTAGAATGTTTGACATAAAGTGAAGAAGGTTGAATATATAAAGCAAAATGTTGAATCTAGGATATTTAATGTAGAATCAAAAATTTTAATATTTAATTAATATTTATCAATATTTAACATTTTCAACTTCCACATACGTATTCTACATCCAACTTCAACTTTCTACATATTAAATTAAAACTACATTCAACATTCTACGTTCATTCATACATATACCTATTCTGCATTCAATATTCAACTTTCTAAATTTTATATTTATTTTTTTGCGTTTATAGTCAACATACTGCATGCAATATTTAGAATTTTTCTTAAACATTTGTTATTTTCCATTCAACAATCTATATTCAAAGTTCAACATTTTACATTCAATAAATGTTTCAGTTTTATACTATTCCTACATTTAATATTCTTCTTTCTACATTTCAGGTCCTACATTATATTCTAATATTTTATACTTAAGTAATCAATTATGACAATAACACTTGATTCACCATATGTGTTTTTTCTTGTTTTTAATTTCGTTATAAATCTATTAATTTGACTTGAGGTTTTTAAATATTAAACTCAGGAAACGGCGTAAAGTAGATAAAGTAATCTTGTTGGTTTTGCAAAACTTTAACTTTGTGCTGAAATAAAAGAAGTTTTCACAACTTCCAGTAATTAAAATAAAATTGAGACGCTGTAAAATTTATTGCTTTAGCTGCCTTTTGGGATCACGAATTTATAAGCGTCGTTGCTTTGAAAGCGACTAAAAACACTTATTTGTCAATTGAAGTGTAATTCCAACGATTTTCGTTCGGTTTGGAAACTTTGCAATAAATGAGAATTGTCATGATAAAGCAAAGTCAAAACAAATTAATTTTTATAAAACAACCAATTTCAAAGTTTGATTAGAAAACTCATAACACAATAAATTAAAAGTTGCTTAATTATGATGATATGTTGGTTAAGACGCAACTAAATTCGATCGATTCATTAACAACTTGCAAGTTTGTATGCACGAAGTTGCAAACATCGTGTTAATTACTTTTTTATGTTTGGCTTTGTGTCAAGTTTGGAAATTTTAAACAAGGAAAAAGTTTAGTCGATAAAACTTGAACCAATTTATGAAATGTTTACTGTTATTTTATCCCAGAAATCGATTAAGGTCGAGGGAAATATTTCATTTTACAATTAATTGTTTACGTCGAAAAATAAATTCGTTTATTGACCAAGACTGAATTGTGTGTTAAGTGGATGGTTTCAGATAACCACTATATTTTTTGCTATTTCTTAGAGTTTTATGTCGTGTCTCCTTACGCCCATAAAATCCCAAATATGCTTTTGGCGTAATAAACTGGACACAATTAATCGCTTTTTGTGGATTTAGGACGATTTTGGTGGATGCGCCGGGCCAAAACAAAAATTTATATCGATCGAAAGCTTGTTGAGTAAATGGGAAATAAATTTTTGGACGGAACTGTTACAAATAAATAAAAACGACTTTTCTATTCACTTACTAAAATCTATCAGCGAATGCTTTTAAGGGATTATGTGTGTGTTTACCATTTCATGACAAAACCACCACCAATTAAAATTTCTAGACATTACAAGTGTTTGTTTTAACGGAAGAAAATTTCGCAATTAAGTTGTCAGTATGCACTTTCGGATCAGAGGAAATTTAGTCTCTCTCACCCTAAATTTCCCCAAAAGAGGAAAAAAATTGAACTAAACATTGATTTTCAAATCGATGCGTCATGCAAGCTAGACAGGAGGAAATGTGCTCTAGTTGAACCGAATTGAAAGGATTATTTCGGGTTTTACAAATCTAAAATTGCTTTAATTTACTTAGGGTTCACATTCCCATAATGGCCTCATTTAGGTGAAGGTAGTTCAAATTTCACGCACTAAATTTATTTCCCCAGATTACGAAGGGTTTTACATTAGATTATCTGCTTTATAAATAAGGAAGACACTTTTTG